CTGCGTAAGGCGAGTTGTGGATTTATGTATTGATCTAGTCTGGACTAGTCCAAATGATAGTAATATAAGAGAGAATGTTAGACTCGAAAATGCATATAGTATGTAACTTACCCATCGTTTAGCCGATTGAATTATATGATTAAGTGATCAACTCGTACATGTCAATAAACATTCTAAGATATCATCTAATACAATTTTACTCAAATTTTCTTCACTGCTTAATATGAATAAAATGGTTTCTATTACACAACGAAAATAAATTAGACAATATTGAATCAGACTAATTTATAATTGTTTTTTTTTTAGTCACTGGTATCTAGGGAACCTATCTTGTATTGAGAAAGAAATTAAGCACAAAAATACACTAAAAAGAATGCAAATTTAAATTAATATTTTTTTTTAAAACTTGACAATAAACTAAATTTATATAGTTTACATATCCTTAAATATAAATCACCAGAACTGATGCTTAATATGAAGTAAAATAATAATATATAAATATTAGAATTGTTTTCAAATTAAATTATGAATGTGTGAAATATACTAGTAACCCTCAACATCATTCTTAGTTTTGAATGGCTCTTATTGACAGTTTAGATAGTGAAAAACGGAACTGCAGTGGTAATATGCACGTATATCAATATAATTTGAATATATCTTATGAATTTTCACAATGATGACATAGCAGATAACATTTAACTATCAATTACAACGAGAAAAAGTATTTTCGCACGATACTGTATGACTTTAAATAATTGACTTAAATAGATCTGATTTTCAAGACTCCGCACAATGTCTAAACTTCTATTGTCATTTGTCTCCTTAAAACTGGTTGACTCTTAGTTTAAAATAAAAGCGAAATGATTATTATTCTTATATCTGATCCATAGTTTAGAAGCATCTAGTTATTCACCACTTCTTGTAAAAGATGAAAAGAGATGCCGAAACGTTTTTCGCATTACATTTTACTCCACTTTCGTTCCAAAACTAGTCAGTCTAAACGAGTTGGCCAGACAAATAGGCCCAAACGAGCAAGTCCGTTTTAAGGAGTTTAGACTAGTCTAGACTCAGATTGAGGTACTTCCTCAAAACTAGTCTAGTCATGAATAGCAAGGATGCTGCATTAGACTAGTTAGTATCACAATTGCATAAATTTCAGATTACTCAAGTGTCTTTTCTTTGATTAGTTTTGATTACATATCGGATGAATTAGCGTCACTCTGATAGTAAGACAATTTAAATAACGTCACCCTATCGCGAGATGGTAGTTGGCTGTTAGATGTCGGATCAAACGTAGGAATCTGTCTATCGTCTACTTTTTCGTTGCTTTTTTGTTCTGTAGACTGGTCTGAATGAAATGAAGAGGTACAACGGACTAAACATAATGAGTATAAGCACGTTTTGGACTAGTACAGATAGAGTTGAATCACATTTCGCTTAAGGGCAACCAGTTCTGAGAGAGATGTAAGACGCTTCACACTATGCTCGACGGGGAGTGTGAACATTGTAGACTAGTCATGGAAAGCATCTTCACTTATTTTTTGCTTGCTTGGGTGTTAAAATGATGTTCATTAACGTCCTTTTCGATTTGATATATACATGCTTTTGCCTAACTAAAGTTCAAAACTTGATTCAACAAATACTAACATGATTAGACACCCACAAACTAACTTTTTGATACAAATAAATGATATTTTCAGATATTCTTCATTCATCCCTTTTCCATCAAATACATCAGAGAATAAACCGACACAGATCTAAGAATGAATGACATCTACAAAAAAAAGTTATGATTCATCCGTTGATATACAACTGAAATGTCTGATGTATTTTTTTTTCGAATATACAGTTAATTGAAGTGTTTTGGCTTCTTTTGCGTGGAACTGGAAGGACGAAAAAAAAATGAGCTAGCTCGATTTTAATAGATGAGGGAGGAAACAATCTCAAACTTTTTCGTTCTTGCGTTGCTTAATTAATATAAAAAAGCATGTTTTTTGCATGCATGAGCTCATTATGTATATCTCGTTTACCGTTACCTGCATTACTCTCGCGTAAGCTTAATTTTTTTCCTTTTCGATTGCTTCTCTGTCAAAAAGTACATTCATAATCTTTACTCTGCAGTCTATGCTACAGCATTGAAATGGAAGAAGAGACGTATTCCGAACAAACAGCGGCAAAATCTGTACAAGAAAAGCCCAAATCCGAAAAAATGTCCAATATATGGCTTGGTTTTCTGCTGGGTGGTAACGCCGTAACATCAATTTTTGGCCTCATCATTCTATTTTTTCTTCTTGCTGTACCTGTGAGCATGCTTGTCATTGGCGTTCGTTATCAACATCGGCACTTTTGTCCAATCGAGCCTCGTATTAGTCTATTTCTTACCGTTGGTGGCGGTGTAGCATTCGGATATTTTGTTCTTAGTATTGTTTTATCAATAGTTACCATGTTTCTTAACTATACTCGATCGTTCAAGACTCTACTTCCCGTAGCCATACTGACCATAGTTACGATGCTCATCCATGTTTTTCTGTTCATTTGGGTAATCATCGGTAGTGTATGGACATTCAGTATTCATAATAAAGTTCAATACACGAATTCACATCGTTGGAAAACATATTGCAACCGTACTTTGTATGAATTTACTTTTATCTATTTGATTATGATCATTGTGCTTTGGGCTGTACAATGTTGTGTGCGGTGTTTCTTTGGTATTTATCGTGCAAGACAATGCAAATAGATCAAATTATTCTCGTCTACTCATACGACTTCTGTATAACAGAGACGTATCAAGTTTTATTCGTTCTTCAAAAAACCTTGTCATGATCATTGGCCAGGATACATCTCTAGATAGTTGGTTAGGCATTCTTGCTTATGTAATTAGTTGTGCATAGTGTTCTATCTTCTCTACTTATATGTTTCGTGATGTATTTGCTATTGTTTCTTCTTTTCTTTCTCTCCTTTTTTTGTACATCTCTCTCAAGAAAACAATCGACATGTCATCGGATGAAATAGAGACAATGCTTATAACGAAGAACCTGAATGGTCTGTGCGAAAGTGTATTTTTTTTTGCTTTTGAAGAAGAATATTTTCTTTTGATTCTGGAGAAATAAAAGGATGATGAGTTATAACAAGACTTATTTCAAATATCTGCATGTGGGTGTGGTATGTTGGTGAAGCGTCAACTCACTTTCTCATCCATATTCACAAACTTCATCTACATCCCACATCCACATCTAAGCATAACGAATAGTTTTTGATGAATATTGTTTTGTAGTCTAATGCAATAAATACAGACAAGTTTTATATAATGTTATTCTTAATTTAAAATTAATATTCAAATGGATAACATTCTGGAAAAATGGTTTCATAAGCTTCAGTCAATAATGGTACGTCGTTATTTACACATAAAAATAGGTAGATTTATTCACCAATGCTTTTTGCAATGTACTTCGAATTATGTAAGGAATAGATCTCCCTAACATCTCAAATCTCAGCATCTTCCGTGTGGTCAAAACTGTGTAATAATTAGGGTAACTCATACAGATATAGAGTGTTTCTGTTGAAGGGTCTGTAGATATTCTAAATGAATGGAATATTAGCGAATTCATTGCTTGTCGTATTTCATCCCATTTTTTAATACCAATCTTTCTATAAAGAAGAAGTGAACTAAGGAACGTGATAAAATACAGACCGTTGTTTCTAAGTAAAGGAACTGATCTATTTCTCAGTTCAATATTGATAGCGGTATGTATATTAGCATCGTAAAGTGCACATGGCTAGATACAAATATTAAACTAACCAGTATTCGAATCGACTATATATTTGTTTTCATTAATAGTTGTGATAACTGGTAGCTGTTTACTGATACAAAATGTCATCATCAAACAGGTAAAATTAAGATGATAGAGTCGCAATATAATGTATCATGAATTAGGCTGTTATTGAACTAGAATAATATTTGAATAATTCGAAACTTGATTATCGGCCACCAGAAATATCCTACTGATCCATTCTCTATTATTTTCTTCAATAAATCTAAGAAAGTATTTTAATTGCTTCATATTGCGAAATCAGTTCATTGAAATCAAATATCACGGATAAAGTCTAACTATCCTAATAGTTTGGAAAGTGGAAATAAACCCGTTTTTCCAAGTTTTCGTCATTGCTATTGACCTGCAAGACCACAATATCAATAGCTGCCGAACACCAACGGATCTAGTATGATTTTTCTATTGATCTACATTTATAGTCTTCTAGTTTGTGATAATTGTGGATATGTATCCCTTCTGATAATGGAAGATCGTATGTTGTAACTTAAGAACAATGAACATATTCGAATCAAATTAAAGATCTTATTACGAAACCCATAAATTAACAATATGCTGTTGTTATGATCTGCCTGAACCGAGACTATGATCACTGGATACAGCTCATCGAATTGGATAATAATAAGTCATGCTTTTAATTCATTATGAAAATTTTACGAAAAAAATTCAAGATACCATCATTTTGAAATAAAAGGGCAAATATACTGAAACTTCTGAGTTTCGTAAAATTTTAGCTTTTGAAATTGAAGCATGACTTTCTATTATGCCAATACCTTGAAATTCGAATATTTTCGGTCCAAGTCCGGTATATGTTAAATTTGTGGCTTTGGCAATGAGACCTTCAATTTGACTCGAATATATTCAATGTTCTTGAGTTACAACACACCATCTTCCATTGTCAGCGAAAAAACTAATTTTGACGGAAATAGATTATTCTATGATAGCAAAATACAACAAAAAAATTACGATTATTCATTATTAGATACATTGATATTTTTCGCTAAAGATAGTAGACAACTTTTGCGTGAATATGCGTATTCCGCACAAGTATTACAGTATCATTATTAAAATGTTAGCGCCAAAACACACATCTCAGGCATTACCCGAGTGCACATCTCATCAAGAAAGTCAATTTTCTCTTAAATTGCGTAGATACACGAATACCCGTGATACTTAGTATTTTTGTCTGTAGACCATTTTCCAACCTCGAGGTACATCATCATCACCGAGACTTTCTTCATCTGAACTATTGTCATTGTTCTTGCTAAAAATCAAATCGTGCAATTCCTGCATACTCGATGAATCCGAGTCAAAACCGTCATCCTCATCATTATCGTCCGTATTCTTATCGAAAGTCTTTGCAGGTGTCGCTGTGCGTTGTCGTTTCGATGTTCGTGGATGTGTGTCATTAGAATCGTCAGCATCCTCAATGTATAATTCATTCACTTGTGTTTCCACATTAAAATATTCGTCAGCGCTCATACTAAAGTTACACTGGTCAGATGAATGCTCCAGTGGAATCTTATCTGAAAGGCTACTACTATGTGTTTGAGACTGTTTTTGATCAGTTATTATCTGTTCATTCCAAAGCGATGGTCGAGTGACGACAAAGATTTCTTGTTGCATATCACAATAACGTCGTTTAGACACTCGAGGCATTTCCTCTGTGAATAATCTTGATTTTCGAACATCATAATCTGGCATAAGGATATAGTTTTCTTCCGGTTTCTTTTCCCATTGTTCATAACAATCAATTAACCATTCAGGTGTGACAACTTTTATATTGTTTTGCAGAGCTTGATTGACTTTCACCGTTTGTTTTCCAGCAATGACATGTGTCGTTCGAATGGTGCCATTGCGATCAAATTGAAGATCATGAGTGACTGTTGCTCCCATCATTTTAGCCATAATTGTTGCACGATGTTTTTCCATTGGATAGTCTTTTGGAATTAAACGAGAGAAGCACAGAGAGACAGAATTGAGCACTTGTCGACGAATATCAGGCATAATTTGCTTCAAAGTTGGCATATTCCCACGTTTGTTTTGAGTCCATTGATCATAAGTCGTATAGAATACCGTATGGATGCGTTTTAATATAATTTCTAGTTGGCGTAAATAGATATCACTATCCACAATTACATTGGAATTGTTGTGTTCTGTTACTCTTTTATTTAAATGATCGTTCTTGCTATCGAATTTGCGTTTTTCACCTGGTTGACCTCTTTCTTCGCTAGTCTCGATTTGTTCATTAATTGGTGGAAGCATTTGTGTATGAGAGATTGATAATGATGAAAAATGGATAGCATTGATATCACCAACATCTTTGAACCACATATACGGTTTGACATGAACCAGGTTTGGAGCGTAATTCCAGATATCTTGACGATCGTCTATAATACAGACCAACGCATCACTGCAAGGAAAGAGACTACTCAAATTGGCTGTTTTGTCTGTCAAACTGTGACATTCATTGCGTGATAAGATTCGATGAGAAAAAAATGTTCCATTCGAATCGATTAGTTTAGCTATAGTATGTGCATACGGTCGATCACCAAAAGTAACTATATGAAATTGATAGAATGATCGAAGATTCGTGAGAAATTCTTGAACACCTGGACGTAATTTCGTATAGAATGTTTGTGCTATTGCAGTGTTTAGTTGATAGGCAATCACATCTGGTGACGACAGATAGGGATTCCTAGAATTTGTCGTATGAACCAGAGTTTGATCAAGATCAACCAATAAATGAAGTTTACGTTTACGAAGAAGATGATTGCGCTCTTCATCGTCATACTTCAAAGCTTCTTCTGCAGTGACTTTTACTGTTGGAAATGAAGGTTCCATTGATATGACAGATTTTGTACATATCGATGCTGGTAAAACATTTTTCAATTGATTTAAATCGATACCACAATCACTACAAAGATTTTTAAAAGTGATCGTATGCCGACATTCTTCATATTCAAGGATGATTGAACCATAGGAGAGAATATCTAGTTCATGAACATACAATTTAGTAACTGTACCGGATAAGGGTGATAAAAAAGATTGTCGTTGATCGTTCGTATCAACCGTAATAAAAATGAAGTCGTTTTTAATCAATCGTGTACCTGCATGAATCATTATTTTACACACTTGTACGGATTTGTTTAAATTAAATTTTAACTCTTTCACATTGCTGTTAACGTCACTATCATTGACATTGGTCTGACTCATAGTAAGAAAAATGTTCCGTCACTCTCTTTGAAAGATGTGATAAAAGAAACTTACTTAACAGTTGTGTAGTGCAGGTTATTATTTTTGTTCTTACACATACATTTTTTCTTTTACTTTCTGTTTCGTATAGAATGTGTCAGAACAAAACAAATATCGTGTTCTATACTACCTCTACGATAGTTGCTTATTACGAACTTGCCGAGAGGTAAATACTCAACACTGATGAAATATATGTTGCAATGACGAAACAAAGCGGGTTAATGGCGACATCGACCTATGAGAGAAAATTTTTTATTAGAATCGAAAATATTGTAGCATTTATACAGATCATTAACTCGTTTTTGATTTACACTAAAATAAAATGTGTCGGAATCAGAAGGTATTGTGGACTGTCTACTAACTATTCATGCAGGATTTGAGGTGAGTGTGGATCAAAAACAGGGACTCTCCCACCCATACTCAAACTCACACTCTGTATGGCCAATTGTTTACGACATAATTACTTAGTATAAATTATCTCTTGTATATCAAAATTAAAGCAATTGCATTGCAAACAGTAAGGATATCATGAAATAAACCGGGCGAAAATCAATTTTCTTTATGTAGTTATTTGAGCTGAAAAGCACTTCCTCGTTTAACGATCAAGAATAAATACGAGGGCAGTTTTGATGGCTTAACATACTGTTTCATTATAACGCTATTGGATCGCTGTCAGTTGTCAGTTTATAAAAATGAACACTTATCATATGTTGATTCTCTGCATTATAGCTTACTTTGCCAAAGGCGAGTTGTCAAACGGAAGCTGTAAATTTCGTGTAGAAGTAAGAATGCAAGATATTCATCGTTTTTTTATTTGTAGGTCAAGGTGGGAGTGTCAGCCTGAACTACTGTGACAAGCAAAATCTTCAAGATCTTGAATTAGCATGCCGTGGTAGGGATGTGGTGAAAGCAGTTCGTTTTTCACCATCTTTCAAAGCTACACCGAAGCTTGTGCAAGTGAACCTGAATGGTTTAGACGTGAGGTAAACATAGTAATTATCCTTCATATATTTGACATAATCATAAGCAATGGTTGTAAATTCAAATGCAAATGTTTGCTTTCGTCTTCCTTAAAGATTTCCTTTTATCGTGTGCTCCATCTCAACGATTCACAGCTTATGTTCATCTCATGTCACAGAGGAAAAGTACGGAAACATTGAGTGTTCCCCAGAAAAAATATAGACCATGTGCTGAAAATGCGTGCTTCTTTTCATCTCAATAGGATTCAAGTGATGGGATACGAAAAGAAATGACACTCTCTTTAGTATGTAAGGATTGTTGAAAGTCAAAGTGAGTTCCAGCTGTTACTTCTGATCGATGCCACATTGAAAAGCTTTCTCGATTGTGATAGACTATGTTAACAGGGATTGTTTCGCTTCACGCTTGTTCAATTTATTTATGGTGTCTTGATAATTCTTTTTGTAGAGCTGCTGACCGCAACATTCGACTTAACTTATATGCGGAGGACGCAACGCCCTACGGTTTCAATCTAAGGTTCTTCTCGTGGGGTGACTCGATTGTGCATAATGCTGGTGCTACTTGGATTGCCTGTCCATGAATCGATGAATTTAGATCTCCATAGAAAACATTTTGTTTTGTAAAATCGAACAGATAAAATTATTAGCGCTCTCATTAATAAAAAATAAAACAAGGCTATTAGGGTGACTCATATTTGAATTAAAATCTTTGAATCGTTTCTAGAAGAATATTTGAACATGATTTGGTTGTATTCCAAAATTTCGATATTGATAGACGAACGATTCTAATTCGAAAGATCAATTCTTTAGTCCTCTGAGAAATGGATGTATGTGGTACACGGCAATTAATTTTTACATGCAATTCAATTGCTCGTGGGATACGTTTGGCAAGCAAGCTTTTTAGAGAAGAAATTTGTGCACTGAACCTGTTTTGGTTGACTCAAGAATTTTTCTCATGCCATGTCACCAAATAAGTTTTCAATATCCATTTTTGATGTCAGGACAGAAAATTACATAGTATGCAGGAATATCTAAGGAGAATCCCTCACTTGGTCACAAATACTTAACATATACTACCATACAACAATGCTTAGAGAGATAAAAGAAATATGTGAACGTTCACTTGTCTCCTAATAGTTATATCTGAATGTGACGACAAAAGAAAAATTATGAGAGCCTGCACCCTTTGCTACGATATTTATTTGGCTATTTCATTTCTTCAAGTGCATGCAGCTTTATAGAATGTTCGGCTATTTCTACAGAAACAATAGAGAAAATGATCTACTATTACTGATTTGTTTGAAATCTGTCGTGGACAATAAGCAATAATCCATAGTTTCTTTGGATACCATCCATGACGACTTCCTCTAAGTTTTTCAGACTGCTTCATTGACTTCAACATTAGTGGCCTAATTGATTTAAATTTTGTCAAGAAATGCCTATTTTTTTAAATCTAAATATTTGTGATTTATCATAAACTTTTACTATCAAATGATTTCCAAACATGATGATTGAAATCATATTTTTGGTATTAACTTTGTCCTGATCATTGTGTCTACAAAATCACTTGTTGCATGAAATTAGAAACCGATTTAAACTCATGAGATAATAGCCTGACGTCTGACCTTTCATCTCTGACAAGCTCTTTTTTTTATCACGAATTTATATCACCTTTCTCATTTTGTCCTGAAAAAAAAAGATATTTGTTTTTAGAAAGAACGAGTTTTAAGATGTTTGCTTGGAAAATAAGCATTTTAATGGAATCTACAGACATTATAGATAAATTTCGCCAAGAAAAATAGATACACAATGGTCTCAGTAGAGAAGAACAACAAAATGCCTTTTTAAATCCAATCAAGTATTGATTTTACCCTAGTATTCAAGGCAAGTAATAGGATATTTAAAATTCAAAATAACAAATGATAATAACTCTCTTCATATTTATCAAAAAAGTGGTTAAAAATATGTAAATGTTCTAAAATATCTGTTCGAAAAATATGATTCGTTTTTTCTTTGTTTGTGCTTTTTTCAATAACACAAGGCAGATATTCTCAGAGACGTGTTGCATTGAATAATTGTTTTTTTATTGTTTGAAAGAGCATGTTTTTCTGCAGAATCTGACAGAGCTCGATTGTTAAATTAGAATTCACTTCGATGCATAAGAAAGCCTTTTTCAAAAGAGATTCCCCTATGTGGAGAAGCTTTTCGAGCTGTTGAACTTGTCAGCCAGTTCTTTCATGTAAAATGTACTAATTTTAAAAACGGTTCTGTGAGGTTCTACAACTAAGTATCTTCTGCAAATCAAAAAAGGAACTATGCATTTCTCATGAAGGTTCACAGTGAATTGTGGTCGTCCGAAAGAGCTATTTTTCGACACTAGTGTGACTAATGTATCCGAAAAACCTGATGATATGGAACTGAAAATTTTACCATAGTCTCTCCATTATAGAATCTACAAGTCGTGAAATTTCCATGGGATTTGAATATACTTTGTCCAAAAATCAATTTTGGAGCCGGTGTGACTGTGATTGTGTGTGAACTTCGATGTTCTGCCAATCCACACTCACACTCCAAACTTCAAGTTTTCTTTGTTTAAGGATAAACAAACTCTTGAAGAGATGAAAAACTTTGCTGGATCAGAAGTCAGTATGTTTATTGCAAATATTGCTGTCATCAAAATGACAAACGTGGTTTAATGATCGCTGCTTTTTACATGCCTTATTTTAAATACTCGAACACCATTTTGATGGAATTTACTACAATCAGTATAGAAAATCTCGAATCCCAATTCATCTTTTAATTTTTGGCAATATTTATCTTGTCTATCAATAATTATTGTTAGAACTGCTTCAATCAACATAGGTGTTAATATGCTGTTTTGTTTCAATTCTAGTATTGAATTTTTTATTTGAGCAGCAATAAATTGAGATTCTATAGCAAGACGAGCGATTCGTGCCATTAGGCCATTTTTTGATAATTCATTGTATAAACAATTATAGACTTTGTTTAAAATTGCTGGTGTAACCAAATACTCGGTCGCTTTCAAAGGTAATCGGGTAAATTCTGATACATCGAATTGAAGGATGCCTCGCTGAGCGTTAAACTGAGCTATTTCAAGTGTGAATCGTCGAGAAAAATCAATGTCACTTTCACCGGGACGAGGATAAACAGGTTGAACAACTAATTTTGGTTCGCTAGAATATACAAAAAAAAAAAAGGAGCATTCTGATGTAATGGATTACATAAAAATAGTAATGTGCAGATTAGTTTGAAAAAAATTTGTTCCGCGAAGGTAGTTATGTTGGAAGAGAAATCAAATTTCTAATTTAGGACAGCACAGTTGTTCGTATAGATAATTGAACATGTTTTGCTTAATTCATATTTTTGTCGTTTTTGAACGTGAACAACATTTTAAGACTTTTTAAAACGGTTATTTTCTGTTGGACCACAAATCGGAGCATGCACTAAAAAGTATCATGAGCTTGTGCATTTTCGCATGAATTGTTTTTTGTTCATTCGACCACAACATAGTCTAAACTTTTACCGTAAATCTCGAATATTATCATCAATCATTCGAGTAAAATTAATTATGTCTTCAATCTGAGGCCACGATGAAATAATTTGTCGTGCTTGTATCATATATTTCAAAGCATTCTTTATGTCATTCATCTTCTTATAGATGAGACCTTAACAGAAAAAATATGATCATGTTTTTAACATGAAAATAAGAACCAAGTACAAATTCAAAGTTCTTTTCTATTATAATTAAGACTATTTTACTTACCCATTCGAAAGTAATATTCAATTATTTGAAAATTTTCCCTCGCGGATAATAATGCTCGATCAGCAGGCGATATTGCAGAATGAATTAAAATACAGGTCAATGTACTATACAGAGCCTTTGAAAATTGTTCTCGATGAAGACAAGAATATGTATAGGATTCAAGTATTTTTTGAAATATATAATGTGTTGGATGTAAGTACTGTAAAAGCATATCAACAGCATTATTACATGCTAATTCAGCTTCTTCAAATCTTTCATGCTTCAATAAAGCTTGAGCCTTTCGATAAAAACTATAGGCTGTAACAAAATAATGAGATGGAATTCTTCGAATCAAATCACGTTGACTAGAAGGTATAGTTGATATCACTTTTTCTATGAGCTCGTATTCAGCAGTTGTTATTACGGCTGGATTTGTGTCAGAGATAATAGCAACGTTTGATTTATTGTAGCAACAACCCATAATGAACTTACTAAAGAAGAAAAAAAATCTGAAAATAAAAGAAACAATAAGTATTCTTCTTTTACCACTCTTATGTATGTGATAAATTAGCTGAAAATCTTTTACTAGCAAACATAAAATCAATACCAGAGTGTAAACAGTAGTAATTAAGCTTTACTCTCAATTCTGAACCAACGAATGATTCTAGAAAACAAAATGGACAAGGTTCTCAACATTCATGTATGTGATTATATTACACATGCAATGGTCGAATTCTCAAATGGATAGCAAAGACTGAAAAGTCCATAGTGGGAATATGGAATTAATGATCATATCATGAGTGCGCAACAACTCTGGAATATATTTACTCTTCAAAGATAAGCTCTAATGTCGTTGCCAAACTAGAACTCTTAGAGTATTGATTCTCATGAATATTATAAACAGAATAGGTTGAAGTAAAAATACTGAGAAACTTTTCTCTTTTTAGCACTTCTACAAATTGTGTCACGGTCAAGAATTTCTAGCAAAAGTGATGAAGACGCGAGTGAGAGCTGTCAAAGAATCGATGGAAATAGACAATATTATTGTCTTTTTAGTGATTCAGAACAAGACATGACGAAAAACGTTATCAATTTCTTTTAATACAGCTTCATTTATATCTGATATTCTCACTCATTAGTTGATCAATATGCATTCTCACTTTTTAGGATTGGTGGTGTCCTGATGTGACGAGTGCTTCACATTTCATTAATTTTGCTTATTTCCTACGAGAATGACACGATAGTAGGAATAAAAGGAAGATATTAAATAAAGCTATACGTGTGCAGACGATTTAATTGCTATGTTATCAATCTATAAAACCCATGTCAAACATGTATGCACTTGCATGATGATTAACGGCTAAAGAAAATAAATACACGGAGATTTACTAGCTTATACAGGCTCTGTAATAATAGATTTGAAATATATCACAAACATGTAACTTGATAGCAATGCTAAGTTATTGGATTTATCATTACGTCCAAGGTACTTTGTTTTAGAATTGACTCCAGGGAATCATATACCTCATCACCTCCCAGTACTCATTTTGGGGTAGGTAGATGGCTGTATGAAGAAAAAGAATATCCTTACTAGCTTTATTTTTCTCAACAATTACTTTCGTCACTAATGGATACTGATATACGTAGACCAAGAAAGTTAATTAGTGGCCTATCAATAATAGAGATAGTATTGATCGATCAGACAATCATATAGACTAAATGGTACTTCGGATACTGTGGAAGCTGTCAGTATCCAATGAACCCTTTTTTTTGTTATGATCTTGATATAATTACAACTAACTATAACTGTGATGAATATAATGTTTCCATGACCAAAAGTTAAAGTGTCATTTACTTCTGTTTTCATTTTTTGTTTCTTCTGAGATAAGATATCCATAAACTATCACGTGTGTATCAACCAAGTGGAAATTAAACGATTTCAATCAGGGTTTTCTTTTCACCCTCACTCATCGACATGCATATGCACATCGACACCTTCGTTATATCCCGCTTTAAAGGACCTATTTTATATTTCTTTCGTTATTTCACAATTTTTCACAGTAGGGTTCACGAATCAAATGAATTTTGAGTTTGTGATTTTGGTTTATTTGTACAGTGATATACATGATAACTTGGATGTGGGTTTGCGTATAGTGAAAGAGAAAACCCGCACCCATACTCCCTCTTCAAACCTTTGATTTATCGTCAGGAAGCAGATATAGAAAAGAAAAAGAGAAAGAAATTAGCGGGAGGAAAAGAAGAAAGAGCAAAAATACCACCCGAAAAATTTCTTGTCTAGAGGTTTTTATTTATTTGTGTCATTCATCATAATATGATGATATATTCAGGAACATGCGCGAGAGAAAACGAAAAACATAAAAAATGTGTATTTTGACGTTGCGCAAACAAGCAAGTGAGATATATGTGAAGTAGTAATCAGCAAATGTGAAGGTCTGACATCAAATAATGGGAAACGCGCATAGACGAGTCTCATTGTCTTCAATACCGAAATGTGTTAAAAGTATAACACAGAGCAAAGATGCCGACGAAAGTCGTCTATCTATCATTTGGTTGAATGATCCATCCAAATCCATGTTAAACTCCCACCGCATATTTATGTAATATCCAAACATTTTATTAGAAAGTCGTGGCCTTCTAATATGACTTTTGCAGATATAACTCAGGGTGGCCTTCTAATGGAGGTGGCCTTCTATTCTGGGGGGGGGGGGGGGNTTGCTGCTGTTGATAATAGCGCTGTTATGATCTCATTCATACTGAGTGAACAGGATTGTCGACAAGACTCAAATAATGTAATGAACGAATTTTTTTTCGTCATTGATTGTAGTGGTTCAATGGAAGGTGACGACAAGATTGGGTTAGCACGCAAAGCAATGTTACTTTTTCTCAAGAGTCTGCCAGTCAATTGTCGTTTCAATATTATTCGTTTTGGGTCTCATTTCTCAGCACTTTTTACTGATCAAGTGACACGAGAGTATAATAAAGAGAATATGAGTCAAGCTGAAACCCAGATCAAGGATATGAAGGCCGATCTTGGTGGCACTGAATTACTTATGCCACTGCGTTGGTTAAAGGAAAACAAACCACTTACAAGTGGTGTGAGACAAATCTTTCTATTGACAGATGGAGAAGTTTCCAATGTTACTGAAGTAACAAATCTCTGTTGTGAGATGTCCGAATACACACGCATTTTCTCGTTTGGCTTGGGTCATTCAGTATGTGATTCATACTTTGGAAATAATTTCATTTACGTTTTTTTTTCATTTCATAGCCAAGTCGTGCTCTTGTCAAAGGTTTAGCTCGTGCTACCAATGGCTATTTTAGTTTTATTGCTCCACAAACAAATGTGGACATCTATGTTGCTGAACAACTTGCTCGTGCTTTACAACCAAGTATATCAGATGTGTACGTCAAATGGAATACAAACCAGCATATACTTCATAAAGTACCTGAACATGCTCCACCCGTATTTGTTGGCGATCGATTACTTTTCTATGCTTTATTCGATGAAACAATGCCATTTGATCATACAATAACTGCTGGATTGTTTACTGACACGCAACAACAACCCATTGGTTTAGCACATATTGATCATGTACCATCAGTACTTAGCTCTCAACTGGTGATGCATTTGGCAGCAAAAGCATTGCTCCGCGAACTTTTAAATGATCAGAAAGCTATAGACAAAGAACTTCTTGTTAAGATTTCAAATAAGTATGGTATTTTGTGTCCATATACCGCATTTATTGGTGTTGAAAGACGTTTAAATGCCAACAGTGAAAGTAACATTGATATGGAACTTCGCGAAGTGCCAATCATGATAAGTAAGACAAGTGGAAAACCAATCTCTCGATTCCGTGCATTTTCGCCTATGCCTTCTCAAAGACTCCAAACTCTCCGCCATGATATTGATAGTGTGGTTAGTGTTATGCAAAGAAACATGTTTTTGTCGCGAGGTGAACGTCTTGACGATTTAGAATATCATTGTTCTACCTTGCAGGCTAATGCATCTCGATTTTCCAAAGCAGTATCACAAGAAAAAGCATTCAGTGTCAATATCGGTTCCATTTTTCAGCCTGCTATTAATTTTGTTTCGTCTCTATTCACAAAAAAAAGTACCAAAAATATTGCTGCCTCTTCTGATTTGAAACCTGCATCATATTCGACAAATGACGACGTTGATCAATCATTGAATAGTTCAAACTCTTCTAACAGTCAAACATCAAAGATAATATGGCCAGCGGATGAACAAAAATTAGTTGATCGTTTTATTGAATTACAACAATACGATGGTCTATGGATCTTAACAACGGACGATGTTAATCAGTTGACAGGAAAATCTCTCACTATCTTCTCATCATCAATAATTGAAAAACTGGAGAAGAATATTCAACAATTGATAATAACCACGGTAATAGTTATGATCTTACTTGAAACTCGATGTCTTACTTTGAAAACACTTTGGCAAGCCTTATCGAACAAAGCATATAAACGTTTGAAAGAATTACTAGATGGAGATGAGTCCAAGATAGAGCAGCTTATGAAAGACATCCGTGATCAATATTAATGAACGCTGAATTGTAATATTGTAGTCAAGAATTGTTTATAAATGATAGTTATCCTTCATAAAAATGTATTATGTCAAACGAATTGTCTATTTTTTCAAATGATGTTTTTCGTATTTTACGTAGTTAATTAAGTCAAGAACACTTAATAACTATTTCTACCGATTCCGAGTTTTTGTTGTTTTATAGTGTTTTGATTAGATCCATAGGATGATATACATGTTTATTTTAATTGTGAATGGGATATACGATTGCATAAATAAACTTTATCAACACAGGTGTACTTATAAGCCTTATGGATTTATGAAAAAAGACAAAATTATGCATTGTTCTTATTTTATTCGTTTGTAAAATACTTAGATGTGAGTCTAGGTTGTGGATGTGTGGTGTGAGTGTGAGTGAAATGAAGAAGTACATTCACATTCACATTTATATCCACGCCCACATCGACCCACATTCACACCCAAAACTTACTAGTAGCGTTCATTAATACTCAAGTGCAAGATAGATATAAGAGATAATTCAAGATTTTCTAGTAATATAAAACTTAATTTTTATGTTTATAAAGAAAAACTGATTTTGAGCATGGTATACTTGTCTAGTTAAGTTCAGTTTATATTTGCAATGCAATTGACTATCCCTCAAGAATTTTAGCGAAATTTGTTGATGGTTGTACTGTTATACTGAAATCTAGTTTTTTTCTATCATAGTTTATTAAAACCTGATTTTTAATCTCAAATTACAATTGAATGTAGTGAATGTACAACTCTTTTACCATGTTTAAGTATGTGTCAAATATCTGAAATTGTATCAGAAATTAAAAATATCTCAATTTTTTATAAGTACAAAGAACATGTGTTGAAATGTGTTAGTCACTATATTGATACATTAAAATTTGACTTTGATTTTCTCATCTTATGATATTTATCTGAATGCACATTATGAAAATGATTCTTCTCTTCTTCGCATTGTGCTCTATTTCAATCATCTGATAGTCAACAAGCTACAAGAATTTAAAATATGCATCATTGAACACTAGCTTATCATAAAAACAGTTGTTGAAAGTTTTATTTGTTGTATGAACGGACTCATGCTTCCCTTCGTCTTCTTTCTTCCACTCATACACAATCCAGCAGCTTAAAACATTGAAATCACTGAATTTTCAATTTCTAGGATATGTCACTAGGAATCAGGAAAATATTTTTTTTGTCGTATAATATTTATATTTTATGATTTTTGATGATTTGTTTTATAGTAGGAGATGCTTTATTGATTTTTGATAGAAGCAAAATATAATTGTAAAAGCTTTGATTTGGTTTAGTAACTTACATTGTTACCGGCTGTAATGCTATCGTCTCGACATTCACATGATTTGTTCTTGCAAATAATTTTTTCAAGTGAGGATTGATAAATATTTGAATGATTGCAACACAAACAAGTGAAAATAGAGTTGTAAACCATTCGAATGGACTTGCCCATAATGGAGCATAACCAAACAGAACATAAATAATAGGAATAAGTATATGTTGCATAGCTACTTTAATAATAAAAGTAAGAAGAATGAAAAGACGTGTCAAAATAGCAATATCTCGAGATAAATTTAAATTTCGATGGATATCTATTAAGGCAACACTACGCGTACGAACATAATGCATAGTAAAGATGTAACAGAATATTGTCGACAAGTATGGAATAAGAAGAATTAGTGAAAAACAAATCATTGTACTACGCAAATTGATTGGTGAAAGTTGACAATGATAATCATTGCGCAAATATTCGAAATCACCAATAAAAAGATTTGGTAATACTTGCGTACACGCTATTATCTATTGAACAAAAGAAAGAATTGCATAAAGACGAAATGAACGGAGTGAACGTCGTGTATGAAAAACGATTCAACAACATCTATAGATGCCTTGAAGTAAGAATGAGTAGAAATATACAGATCCATTTATATAGAGAGCATATGATTTTACACTACACCACCACCCTTTGAATGAACTATTTGGGTATAAATGTCCATAAATTGGTCGAATATTCATATCTATAAATAGAGAAGATGCCATTAGCATAGATTGGTACCAATTAGCAATGAGCAGATAGTTAAGACGATCTATTCTGGTAATATTTCGACGATAAGTTATGATGAAAAGTAGAAAAATTGATAAAAATAGACCAATAATAGTAAGTATGATATTGCTCAAGTATAGAATAAGGCTTACGAATAGCAGTACCATATATTTGTAAATTATTAATAGATACAATGGCTACTAGAAAGAAAAAAAAACTACACTCTTATCGATCGGAAAAAAGACATGTGTAACACACTAGTAATAATAGAACAAATGTCAAATTCTGTTATATCATATTATCGAACTTTAGTTCACTGGTCGTTTATTTAGTTATAAGAAGCTCTATTCTAATTACAAAGTTCGTATCAAATAAATTTTTCAGAAAAATCCTAGAAAACTGGAATGACTTTATTTGACTTTAGCATCTAACACAAACATAGAAACAAGATAGAAATATGCGATTTTTAACAATTGAAACATCAGCTTGGATAAAAACTAAAAAAGAATGATGCATATTTCATTGATCAGCTAGCTTAACCTTTTATTGATCATTCTATAGACAATTTGCTTTAAAAAAAATTGTACATAATTTGCAAGATCAAACTCGCTAACTTATTCTATTTGGTATGATCAGCTACGTTAAGTCGAGTAGTTATGTTCGTTTTTCTTTTGTTTTTTGGCGACTTAAAGTTATGATCTCAAGATTGTCGACATGTTCACTCTGTTAGGCAGTGAAAAATCTTCATATAATGACTTCAACTAACTTTGAAATAAAAATCGAATATAATCACTCAATCGAACGTAGCTGATCATCATCTTTATGATCTGGATGCTAATGTGGCTATAAAAGTGGACCTCCATTTCAATCACACCCACAACCAAAGTAAGAGCGAAACAATGCAGACATGATTACAACATAAAACAAAACATCGTATTATCTTAGAAATATATTTTCCTTGGATTACAAATTTCAGGATCGTGAAAGTGTCTTACAAATTTTACGTTGATATCTAAATATACTATGATTTGTTGCTGCAATGTAAGCAAGCATGATTTCTATTTTCGATATCAAGGAAAAGAATAATTTTTGTAAAAAACCTAGCTGGGCGATGCGATATTTGAAGTTGATGCTACGACAAGCATTTAATTGATTCAATTGCGGAAGATCTATGACAAATAGAACATTTTGAATATATTACTTTTCAATTTTTATTTGGCTCAGTATTATGGATTTGGATCAAATCCTTCACTAATTCGTCATTTTTCATATAAAAATATTTTACACACGTTTGCATTTTGTTTTATTTCTTTTATGTTCTTATCTTACTTGTTGAAAGCTGTTATATGAATCTGTTGTATTTACTGTTGAATGAGAAGAATTAGATGCAACTAATCGTTTTTTATTTCTGAACTTAAGTTTGCTCCATTTTTTTTTCTTATTAGTAATCATGTGGAAAGAAGCTAGCATGACATATAAGTATCACACTATCGTGTAAATGCAAATTAAAATCTTAAAAATTTGATAGATGACGATATCAGAATTTATTAACGGTTATGAGTCATTTTAATGAAGTATGATCCCTCTCAACTTGACATTGAAGAATCGAGCGAAAAAAAATATTCACAATTTTTTTCTTATTGTACTCTTTTCGGCAATGTCACTTTTTTATTTATGCTTGTCATCAAACTATTTTAGATACTGTCCTTTGAAATTTAGTGCTCTATTGTCAGTAAACATCATAAAGATTGTTATCGTTCTTTTTACTGTCTTTTATCAAAGAAATTTCACCTGATGTCAAGTCATGTCGTCATATGAATTTCGAAATAGCAGAGCAAGGATGACTAAGTATAAAAATTATACGCTGTTAATAATTTACATCGATATAGTTTTCGAAAATTTCGAAATAGTGAGCGATCGATCGTTCAACATATGGACAAGGTACTTGGAAAATCCTTTATTGATAATTTGTTCATTATATAGTTCAATTCAAAGCCAATTACCAAACAACTCATAATGATCTATGTCTAGTATATTCAAAATTAGGAATCAATATGAGATACTCAACTACAGGCTTTAAATAATTGGATGCTAGTACATAGTTAAATTGAGTTTTGAAATGTGCTTCATCTCAATTTTTCTAAAAACTAAATACTGTATTGTTTTTATAAGTTGGTTCTCACAGATCATAAAGTGTTTGTTTATACTGTTTTTAATTATATCTCCTACTCGTACACAGAATAGATTTGAAAAAGAAATCTAAAATGTAGGTCGAAGGACGTACGTGAAATATAATCAACGGATCAATTTTGTTGCTGGTCTCCTTAACTATTATCTGTGCATATAAAATTATAACAAGTGGGACTGACTTTAGTTATCGACACTAGTATATGATAATGATACTAATATAACTATTGTTTATTCGTCTAAATTATGATGTTAGATATAACTGCATATTTAATAAGTTGGTTGTTGTCGAAAATGAAAAAGCTCATTATCATTATACTTGATACTAGAAACAAGCGAACGTTTAGAGTTTTTCTAAATTCATCTGTGAAAATAAGGCTATTTTCTTTTTCAAAAGAAAACATATCAGACTTTTCCATATAGTTGAATTTCATTCGATGAGAAAATATTTGTTCAATATCATTAAACTAATAATTGAAATGATGACGTTAAGCAAAAAGAGACAAATAATAAAATAAAGTTCGTACGAAACTTCCTATGATGAGAAAGAAGATGACATGTTATTAGTAAATATAATTTTTCTAGTACTATGAATAGCTCTGATATCTTTTTGTGTATTGTAAAACTGAATGTTATAAATCAACAAAATAATTTTTGAACTGTAAAAAGGAAAACTTCTTGACTCTGTTTCTTTCACATTGTTATATTCAATAAGATATGAATTAAAACAAGAGGCTTTTTCTTTCATGCTGCTAAATCGTGAATTTATTTTGAAACCTGCTGTAAATAATGAAGGCTCAAAAATATTTGAGATCGAAATCCATTTCTCCTTAATAACATCTACTGAAAAGATCAAAATATGTGACATGCGATATCTGGTATGTCAACGTTCATATGGCAACCAGTCGAACAACAATTTATTCTAGCAATCATAAAATGATTAACAGTCATTCTGAAATTATTATACTCAGGGCTACATTGGAACTAAATTTTAGTCAACAATAGTTGTTCATTAGAGAAAACATCCTTTCAATCTATAAAAAACCGATCTCGATCGCTCATTCATTGAAGGAGTTTATATTTTCCTAAGATTTCTTAAGCATACTTTGTTTATTTCAGTTTTTTATATTCAAAGCAGTTAGAAATTTGAAAGAAATATTGTGTTGCATTAGGAAATTTCTGAATAATATTGCTAATGTTAGCGGTATATAATTCCTTTAAAAGTTCAATCGAGCCTGATAATCAATTTACATACATGTTTCAACAACTATGTAAGTTGTAGGAAAGTTTTCTTGCACCATTACCCATATCTTTTCAACGGCACTAGTACAATTCGTCGCACATGCAGGGGTCGCAGCGGCCTGTGTCTGGAAATCAGGAAAATAGACAGGACACATTTTAGATAAAAAACAGGAATTTCGATTAAAATCAGGACATTTAAAGTCTTATCATAGTGCTATTGTTCAGGATGAAAGCTGCAAAAAAGCATGTCAATCAATGATAGTTCATTGAAATTACTAGATTATATTTCGCCGAATACATGTTTCGAGTTTTGCTTTTTTCTTTTCGTTCGCTATCTCCAATTATGTGTTGTATATATGTTATACGCAAAATTGAGATTCAGGCAAATTTCAAATTTGCCTGAATCTCAATTTTCCCTAAAAAATATATATTTTCTTTTCCTCAGACATATGGCTTACAGAATGGAACATCCTTTACTATTGGACTCATTTTTTTCTAGTCGAAATTGCATTTTTATCAGGAAAATAGCCGTAAAAAGAAATACGAAAAAAGCTGCATTTTCGCAGTTTTTAAGGTTCTATAACCATCTTTTCGGCATTCAAACCATTTTTCTGCATCACGCTTCCTTCTCCTCTCTACTACTTTTCCTCTTCTTCATATCCATGCTCTTTGTACATATAAAAGAACCATGTTATAGATAAACGAATAAAAGCGTTTACGAGAAAACTTTAGTAAATCGACTAAAATTTTAAAATAAGGGAATACAAGATTTAAGACAGCTACGCACCGTCGTAAACTGTATTATATAAATATCGCCAAAGTGCTGATGATAATTACTAATGATAAAATAGCTGCTTTCAAAAACGAATTAATTCGAAAGAATCGATTTTTAAAGTGATTCGAAGAAAAAAATGAACAAAATAAAAATTTGAGTACCATCTTTCTTTTTATAGAAAATATTCAACAAATATTTCTACAAAGTTTTAAGAAACGTTGAATAAAACAAAATAAAACATCAAAATGACACACATGTGGTCCTATAGAGATAAATCTTGAAATATCAGGACAATATCAGGATTTTCAGTCAAAAGTAGGAAAATCAGGACTCCTTGAAAAAGTCAGGAAAAAATCAGGAAAGTACACACGCTGCGAGGCCTGCACATGTATTGTTAAGAATACATTGATTGAATTAAGTAATTTAGTTTAAAATGTTATACAATTAATCGCCTTAACAAAAATTTTCTTTAGACTCATAAGAATCTTTTTTCAGAATACAATGGTTTTTTCAAAAATAAAATAGAGATATCAATTTAAAGGCTATTTTAAAATTTAATTAAAAAAATTGAAGTTTGATTTTAGATAAAATTCTATGTGAACAAATTAAAAATAAAGTTCATTTTTTTCAATTGAAATTTAACATTTTATTTAAAAAGAAGCTGAAAATTAAAACAAACATATAAAATTAAAAAAAAATTTACAAACCCTGATTAAACAAAAGTAAAGCTTTTCATTTCTTGAACACATTAATTTTAATGACAAAAAAAGAACTTTATTTTTAACTTGTCAACATAGAATTTTATTTAAAATCAAACTTCAATTTTTTTAATTAAATTTGAACATAGGGTCTTACATTGACATCTGTATTTTATTTTTGAAAAACTGTTGTATTCTGAAAAAATATTCTAGAGTCGAAAGAAAAATTTTTGTTAAGGTGATTAATTGTATAACATTTTAAACTAAATTGCTTTAATTCAATCAATATATTCTTTACAATACATGTGCGACGAATTGATCGGTCACCGAGACAAGTCATCCATTTATTTCGAGATGAAAAACTCAATCTATACTAATAGAAGTATGTGAAACTTTTAGTTATTAAAATTTTCACTATATGAATTTCTAGTTCATCATTTTTTTTGAGAATTTTTGATTTGGCATGCTCTGCCTCTGCTCGTGTAGGCCTCTCTTCGAATACGGAAAATGTTAACTAACAAAAAGATAGATTGTATATTGATGTAAATGTTGCTATTGACATCTGATCATAGAAGAAAATCGATTAAGATAGGTAAGGAACAACTGCTTGTGATCAAATATACTTGTATTGTAACTCGTCGTTTGCTTCTCCTTCTGCATAGCAATGTTGATAAAAAAAGTAAACTTATTGATCTTTCTCATTTGATTCTATATCTATTTTAGATAAAACAAAATCGAGTTTTACTTACTTTTTTGGCCAACAGCATTTTTTAGATTTCAATTTCGAATTTCAGATGAGAAAGCTATTTTCAGAAACGATTGTAGCAGAAAACAACCAAATAAAATTGTTCAATGTTGTCTCAAAACTTTCGAGTAACCACGGTTCGTCAAATGTTTTTTGATTTAAAACTAACATGAGATGAAATAGTGGATATAGGCATACAAACACAAAAGAGTTTTATTTTCAATTCTCTGATTAGCTCCCAACATATATAATGATGAGGCAATCTACTCACTTATTTTTTTGGTTAGAGCAATTTCCTTTCTTTCATGTATCTTTTCCTCTTTTTCAATCATATTATTGAAATAAGAAGGTATTCATTGACAGTATTTCTTTTTCGTCTTCCCACTGATCAGCAAAAAGTGTACTTTGCCAATAAAATCACTTTATTTGGTGTTTTTCACTGAATAAAACGATATAAACAAATCGTTTGAACCTGATAACAAACGGCAAAAGTATTTTGAATAGTACTTGAAATTTCAAATAGTTAGAGTGTTTATTGAAAAGAATTTTCTAGGAAAATCACATGTGACGACGAATCACCGAGACATTTTATAGAATTATGTGTTTTATTTTCGAAGAAGAAATATGAAAGTCGTTAACTCTAAGTATAATCATTAAAAAACAATTTATTTGAGTGTATGTTTTCCTGTTATAGAATATTGCTGAAGGTTAATATCATGGAGGTGAGTTGAGCGTCCAACTTGACAATTAGTTATATTTTCATGTTTTAAAATAGTTTTACCTTTTCAAAATACTATTCATATAAAAGAATACGAATGAAAATCGATACGATCATGATTCAACAATTTACTGTATTTGAAAATAGATCCAAGAAGTGAAGAGTAAGATTATTTCACAAAAGGAATATCTTTTCTAATGAAAACTCATCTATAGATATTGAAGAGATGTGTGACGAAATAACTGAATACATGAAGAGAAAAAGTAAATTATCAAAAAGGTGAAAATATGTTATCGTATTGGAGAAAAAAGTATTCATGTGCCTATACATCACTATGTTCGATTTCCGCTTCATCAACAATAAGTTGCCTTTTCCGTAGAATTCAACATGATTGCTTTTTTCTGTTGCTGTTTATGGAAGAAAATAAGTAGTAGAGTTTTTCATGTAACACAGCAGTTTGAAAATTGTTCTATGATTATGGGAAAATGCACAAAGGTTGATTCGTTCCCGACTAGAATCGAATACGAACAATTGTACCCATGCAGCACATGATAGAAGATATGTTACTACATAATTTCTGCGAAAACAACCGACTATTACGACAACAAGCATTTTATGTAACAAAATATTGTTTTTTTTGACAAAGATCTTCTTATATCACTTTACAGTACTGTCCTAAGAAAAGAATCGATCCTATCTGATGTTTTCTGTTTCTGTTTACTTTTAAATTAACGAGAGTGGCCCATAGAGAATGATACTTTTCTTATTTGAACGATATCTCTGTCATTTTCAATATCTCAGGTAAAACTTTCGTTTTAAAATAAATCATGAGCTCTGGTTCTCGAAAACTAAATAATTTCGTTATTTTAAATAATCACCATTATTTTTGGACATGCGATACAATCTATTAATCCAAGAAGGATAACTCTCAAGGACAACTTGTTGACGAAATTTTTTAATACCTTGTTTCACTTGAATGATTAAACTAGTTTTCAGCATGACTCTGTTCCAATTGGTGGCCTGAGCAAGTTCATCCCAAATGGCATAATTTAGGAGATTTAAGTCCAGACTACTAGGGAGACATTGATCTTTGTCAATGAATAAGGGTAGGTTATTTCGACACCATTGTTGTGTTAGATGACGGATATATGATTTTGCACCATTTTGTTGAAAATTCCAATGACTTTCAAGATTTTGTTTTCCATATTGGAGACCTATTAAACGTATCTCTCTAATGTACCGATCATGATTGATTGTTCCTTCTTTAAAAATTATCAATGGTGACACTCCCTTAGAACAAACAACCAACTGCACCATCACCTTCTGAGGTAATTGTCGTCTTTGCTTGACGGCACTATTCTTGCCAGCTTCGGATCGACTCACAGTCCACACTCGGTTATTTTGTGAGTTGTAAATTCAGTCAATGTCGAACAACTTCTCGTCCGAGAACAGAATCTTCATCGTATCCTCTTCAAAAATGTGTTCGTACCTAATTCGAAATTTTTTTTCTATTCTCCTTATCCTCATCAGTGAGCAATGATTCGACCACTATTTTATATGGTCACAATTGAAGATCATTTTTAATATTTCGACGGACACTACCATAAGAAATATCCAGCTCACTGACGACTTGTCGAATTGATACTTTTCTTTTCCGATTCAAACGAGTCATCACTTGTCGGATAGACTCGTTGGTTCGAATAGTCCTTGGTCGACCCGATAATTTGGATAGTTGAATAGTGCCTATTTTGTGGACCATTTTCTACCATAATTTGATTGTTATAAAGTTCATAGCATCATTTAAATGTTGAAATATTCCCGACAGAACTTGACCTATCTCGTACTTTGAAAGTACGAGTTTTTGTATATTCTCACTCTTCGTTGTTGAGGAAAATAGCCAAATGAATATTTGATTTGCTAAATGCCCATCTTTGTAAAGTTTGGAAAGAAGAATATTTTGAAAAAAACGCTGATTTGTGAAAATGAAAAACGAATGAGATGTGGTTAAAATATTAAAGATATCCTTCTTTAGGGTTCATCCGTTAGATATGAATATCTGCTTGTTTCTAACATGATAGCGGTTGTTTTGAGAAGAATAAAGTTGTGATCGAACATATCAGTAGTGAGTAACATAAGCGATCTTCTTCTGAACAGGGAATGAGATTTAAAGGACACTGATTATGAAAAAACGCATATCAAATTAGCAAACCACGTCTTTCTTCAAAGACAAAATAATTCTTTGAACGACGTTCTATACACTTAGACGATCCTTGCTAAAATATTGGTAATTTTTGAGGATTTTGATCTGTCTTTCCATTCAAGAGTGAGAAATCTGCAAAGATAACTACTGATATGGCATAGATCACATGTTGAATATAAAATTAGTCAATACTTGAACACTTGATCAGTTGGTATTGAAAGTTGTTTTTTATTCGTTCACTGTTCTCAGTTCCACTTTTTTGGAATAGCGAAGCTTTACCTTCTTAAGGTCATACAAAACATGATCTAAACAGAGTATTGAAGTTTAAAAAGTACAAAATTTTCTCCCACTCGTAGATCAATTTCCCCACAAAACGTTACAGCTAGGCTTCAATGAGTATAAAAACACTTTTACTCCTTCAGAAATTGCGCCAACAGCTTTTTTTCCATGAATCTAATCAACTTAGATCTGTTAGCGACAAAAACACTTCGATAAGCACATATTTCTCAAAAAAATGTTTGTTTTCTTTTAATTGACTTAAAGTGAAATTATGAACTTGGTACAACAACGAATAAAAATATGTGTCTTGGTCGTCTATCTTCTATTAACGTCGACAAGTATGTTCGCGATAATATATTTGAACAAGAAGACGTAGTCAATTTTAGTGGGGAGTCCAGATGAACGGCGTTTGCTGAAACATTTATTCATTGATCAGCAATATAACAAACTTGAGCGACCCGTTCAAAATGATTCTGAATCTTTATATGTTGAGATGTGGCTCACTCTAACACAAATCATGGATTTCGTAAGTAAGATTAAAGTTCAACTTTTATCTTATTCTTTTGTTTTTTTTAATATGCATAGGATGTGAAGAATCAGATCCTTGTAACTCATGCCTGGGTGTCTCTGGTACGTTTACTTAGTATGAAATTTGATATTGTTTTACATACCTCTACAGCGGTGGTCGGATTACAATATGATCTGGAGACCAGAAGATTATGGTAATATTACAAAGTTATCGGTGCCGACTACAGAAGTTTGGATTCCAGATATTGCTTTGTATAACAGGTAGATCTTGAAACACTTGTGTTGAAAATATGAAATTCTTTTCGCAGTGCCGATGAACAATTCGACAGACTAACGATAACCAATGTAATGGTGAACCATAATGGAGATGTGTTGTATGTCCCAAGGAAAATATTCAGGTCAATTTGTCTGTTGAATAGTATATCGGTTCTGATGGTAAGTATCTCTTCTTATAAAAATCCTGTAAGGTGAAATCTCATTTTATCATGAATATTTATATTTTATTGAATACATATTCGTGTTCTTTGAAATTTGGATCACGATCATACGATTCATCTGGTATGAAAAAGCATATGATACTCATTGTGATATTGATTGTTTTCATCCATATTCAGTTTTCATCATAGATAAATCTCATATTGTGCTTGATTATTATTTAGGAATCAATCTGTCGATACGAGACAAAGAGATTGATACGACTTCATATACAGAAAATCTCAAATGGGCTGTGAAAGGTAAACCATGCGAATTTCGAATACTTAATATGCTTTTCTGTTTCAGGTACATCTGCATCATTGTACACAGTACAATACGAATGTTGTCCGGAATTCTATCAACAAGCCGCGTTTACTATTCAAATCAATGGACTTTCTTCTGATTATTTCGCAAATATCACTGGTACTCGAACCAAGCTATAAAACGCATTTTTCTTTATCTAGATACATTGACCAGAAATATGTCGTGATTTACGCAAGTTTTCGTAATAATAATGAGATCTCTCAATGACTGTTTAAGACTTTCTAAGAGTGCATATGACGAAAATCTAATCTCTATTGCTGTAGCAGAATTTAAGATATCCTTAATTTACTGAAACCTTGATCATAACATTTATATTGTGTTTTCAAGGAAAGGACAAGTGGCGGTAAGGCCATTTTCTCGCCCAAAAATTTTCTCAAAAAGAATTATATATTCGGAAAGAGCGTAAAAAACTGCATCGATCTATATATGTCACTCGTTGGTTAGAGATTTTCTTATCCCTTCTATATGGAGCTAAAGGG